GGGAGGGGATGGGGACCGTGAGGGGATCGGGATCGGGGTGGGGAGGGGATGGGGACCGTGAGGGGATCGGGATCGGGGTGGGGAGGGGATGGGGACCGTGAGGGGATCGGGACCGGGACTGTGAGGGGATCGGGACCGGGACCGGGACCGTGAGGGGATCGGGATCGGGACCGTGAGGGGATCGGGATCGGGATGGGAGAGGATCGGGAGGGGGATCAGGACCATGGGAGGATCGAGATCGGGAGGGGATCGGGACCGTGAGGGGATCGGGATCGGGACCGTGAGGAGATCGGAATCGGGATGGGAGAGGATCAGGAGGGGATCAGGACCATGGGAGGATCGAGATCGGGAGGGGAGGGGGATCGGGATCGGGAAGGGGATTGGGATCGGGATGGGATCGTGGTCGTGAGGGGGTCGGGATCGGGATGGGAGAGGAGCGGGAGGGGCATCAGGACCGTGGGGGGATCGGGATCGGGATGGGAGGGGATCGGGAGGGGGATTGGGACCATGAGGCGGTCGGGATCGGGATCGAGATGGGAGGGGATCGCGATCGGGAGGGGATTAGGACCGTGAGGGGATCGGGATGGGAGGGAGATCGGGACCATGGGGGGATTGGGATCAGGATGGGATCGGGATCGGGATGGGATCGTGGTCGTGAGGGAATCGGGGTCGGGATGGGAGAGGATCGGGAGGGGGATCAGGACCGTGGGAGGATCGGGATCGTGATAGGAGGGGATCGGGAGGGGGATTGGGACTGCGAGGCAATCGAGAGGGGATCAGGACTGTGGGGAGATCAGGAGGGGATCAGGACCATGGGAGGATCGGGATCGGGATGGGAGGGAAATTGGGACCGTGAGGTGATTGGGAGGGGATCAAGACTGTGGGGGGATCAGGAGGGGATCAGGACCGTGGGGGGATCGGGAGGGGGATTGGGACCTGGAGAGGATAGAGTTTCAGGGAGAATTCTAGTGCATGAGCCTCCATTCTAGGGTCAAAAAAAACAGAAGAAAAAAACCCAGCTTTGTTTTTTCACGCTCTCTTCACTTGGAATTTTCTCCGTGTCCTGGTGTCCTTAGAGATCTGGTGTTCGGTGTTGTACACAGTGTTCTCCGTCAGGTCACACTATTGGTTTACATGACAGTATTTTAGTATGGGCTGCTTTAAAGTAGAGTCATCACTGAGCTATTTATAGTGCTGAACTGTCTTCGTAAAATTAATGAACTGAATAGTGCTTTTCTTGTCTTCATAAAATTGACTGGAATGTCTGTCAGGTCAGAGACAACCCCAGGTCTGGGTGGCAGCTTTCCCAGCACCCGCAGGCTGCCTGTCCCAGCGTGGCCAGAGCCAGTCCCTGTCCTAAGTCCTTGCAGCCTTCTCTGGGGGGCACCTTTGCTCTGGTGGGTGTGCTGCCTGGTATTTATTGCTGGGCTAGAGCAGCATTTGCCATTGGGGAGCCCACCCCACTTTTTTGTACGTCTCTGAAGTTCCTGAAAGCCCTGCAGGCTTGGGATCAAGACAATTTTGGTTGAAGCAGCTTTTATGATCTGAATCCTCATGTCCCTTCCTACATGGTAGCAGAGTATATTAAATGTGTGTGCTTTAATTTTAGGACTTTATGAAAATCATATGGCGAGCTGTCCTTTAGTGTATTCCCCAGCCAGGCAGGGACAGGCCTGGCCTCTCCCAGAACTGCATGTTTTCTTCAGCAGTTTCTAGTTATCCCAGGTATTTTGGAAGTTTCTCCTCCTAGTCAGTGGCTGCTCTGTGCCATGGTATTCCTAGAATCATTTAGGTTAAAAAAGACCCTTAAGGACATGGAGTCCAACATTCAGGTACCACTGTTCTTTCAAACTTTAAAATGAGATCTTTTCATTCTCAAATAAACTTGCTGATGCATGGAGTTACTCCGGAATGGCTGTTCTGCTTCCACGAGTGTTCCTCACCTCACTCAGCTGCCTCTTGGGCACGAGTCAGCTTTCATCCACACTGTAGAAGCACAGGGAGGCCTGTGTTTTGGGATGCTTAGGGATACAGCTCCTGTCCAGGACTTCAGCATGCAGCTGCCAGCAGGGCCACTTCCTTTTGTGTAACGTTTCCCGTGAACTGTGCCCCGTGACTTACAGTGTGAGGTAGCAAAAGAGGGGGTTATGGAGGTGATGAGGGGACTGGAGCACCTCACTTCTGGGGAAAGGCCGTGGGAGCTGGGCCTTTCCTGGAGAGTGGGGATCTCATCAGTGTCTGTCCATGTCTGAAGGGAGGGGGCAGAGGATGGAGCCAGGCTGTGCTCGGTGGTGCCCAGCAATGGCACAAGAAGCAACGGGCCCAGACTGGAACACAGGACTATAAGGAAGAACTTCTTTACTGTGCAGGTTACCGAGCACTGGCACAGACTGCCCAGAGCAGGTGTGGAGTCTCCCTCACTGGAGACACCCCGCATCCACCTGGACACACCCCTGAGCGACAGGAGGGGACCCTGCCTGAGCAGGGAGGTCGGCCCGGGGGAGCTGCAGCGCTCCCTTGCAGCCCGAGCCATGCCGGGGCGGGGCGGGGCGGGCGAGGACGCAGCCCGTGTGTTCCCAATCCCGGCCCGGGGAGCCGGGCGGGCCGGGCCCTGGGGAGCGGCTGGGCGGGCCCTGGGGCGGAGCGGGCCGAGGGCGGAGCGGGCCGGGGCGGAGCGGGCCGGGCCGGGCGGGCGGAAGGCGGCGGTGCGAAGATGGCAGAGCCGGAGGCGCAGCTGCTGCGGGCCGTGGGGCTCATCGGTGAGGGCCCGCGGGCCGGGGGGGACCCGTGTGAGACCCGTGTGGGGCCCGGGGCGGTATCGGGGCCCGCCGAGCTGCGGGCCCGGCCCGGGCGGGCGGTGGCGGCCCCGCCTGTTGCCGCGCTGGGCTCGGCCGGGGGTGCCTGAAATTCGCGGCTTCCCATCTCTGTGTTGCGACATCAGAAACGGGGAAAAACCATAAATAAGCTTGTTCCTCCGCACCTCGCTCGCACTGGGTGTGTATTCAAACTCCCGGTGCTTCCCTGACCTCGTAAGAGCGGATATTTGTTAGCGTTTCAATAATAAAGCCCGCAGCAGAAGTGCTGCCCTGGGGCTGAAACCGCAGAGGCAGAACTGGATGTCTAGGGTCAGGGTAAGGTGGAATTTTAATCTGGTTCTAGGAAACAAACCTGATTAACTCATCGATTTACTCCCTTGCTGCTGTTTGGCATTCTCACAGTGAACATCTTTCCACCATAGAAAAAGACACCAACGGAGATGCTTTGTGGGTTTGGTGTTATCCGTCCGTAACAGCTGAGCTGAGGACTCTGTTGCTGCGAAAGTGCTGCCTCACGGATGAAAACAAGTTGCTCCATACGTTTGTATTTGGCCAGTACAAAAGGTCTTGGTTCTACATCACAACTGTGGAAGTTCAGGATTCTCCAGCTTTGAAAAAGGTAGGACTTGGCGGGGCTTTTCAGTAGAATGTGGGGAAGATAAATGCAGAGGTTCCTCTGCAGGTTAAGCAGTGTTTTCCTATTGAGGGAACCGTGGGGAAGAGAAGGGGTTCAAGCTGTTGTGTGCTCACAGATGCAGCTTTTACCCAGGAGTCCAACTAGTCCATGTTTCATTTTTTACCAAGACACGTGTTGGATGGAATTGCAGCATGACTGAGACACTCATTGCCCAATTTAGATTCCTTGTGTTAACGTGGTAATGCTATCTCATGTCATTATTTCTAGTTAATTTGTATTTCATTATCAGCAATTTGTTTCTCTCTACAAAGTTTGTTTCATTGTGTTCAAAATCTTGTTAGTATGGAACTTGGTGCTTTTTTTTCCGAAGGGTCAAGTTACATAGGTACTTTATTTTTCATTGCATTCATAATTGGAAGACAGTAAATATGCTTGTATCTTCTATCTTGTCCCTGTTATGAAAATCATTAAACTGTTAAGTTTATTCAGTTATTCAGTTTTCATATTTCATGCTATATTGTTAAGCAGAAAGATAATGGGGCAATTTTACATGCCCACAACAGAATATTTCCCGCCTTTCCTCACTCCAAGCTTACATCTCCTATGAACCTTAAAGGTGTAAAATATATAAAATAAAATAAAGTGTCCCAGCACTGTCTCCAGCAGCAGCAGTGGGAGATGCTGTTTGAGGAGGACATGTGAGCCTGGCCATTATCTGCAGGCTTTCAGTCTCATACTGTCCCAGCCCACAGTCACTGGATTAAGGAAGTTTAAAGAGTAGTTCTAATTTTGGCCCTGCTATCTGTGTGTTTTTTTCCAGTCTCTTTCTAAATATGTTGATGCTGTCTGCCTCCATAGCAACAAATTATGGAATTTCCCTACCTGCTGTGGGGGAAAAATAATGCCTTTCTGTTTTTTTAATAATCCTATAGGAAAACAACTCTCGTGGTGTAGGTTAAGCAAAAGACAGTCTGTACTAGAGCTGAGGCACATCAGAAACCCGTTCCCCAGCCATCCCTGCACTTGGGAACTTAGAGCTGCTGCTGCTGCTCACTTTTTTATGCTTTTTTTAACTGAAATGCCTTGTCAGTACTGCAGGAAGTTCAGTAATGTGACAAAGGCTGCTCGTGGTGGGTCATGAACTAAGCTCTGTGTGTTCCTGTCATGCACAGGTGACCCACTTTTCCATTGTCCTGACGGCCAAAGACTTCAACCCAGAGAAATACGCCGCCTTCACGAGGATACTCTGCAGGTCTGTACAGCTGCTTTGAGGTGGTGCTGTGGGCAGGCTTAGAGCTTGCCAAAGCAAGAGGTTAAATTTCGTTGTGTTGCCTTTGTTCTAACAACCTGCCAGAAACTCAGTCCTGCAAACAGAATCAGATTAAATAAATCCTTGATTTAAGTTTATCTTGAGTTCGTGCAGTAAGTGTTGGGTGAGTGTCAGATGTCCATTAGGTTTTAATGTGTGTCTTCTCCAGACACCACCACCCACACACTCATTTTCTCTGAGAACTTACTTTTTAAAAGTGTAAATGTTTGGGAAGAGGTCAGTGCTGGACTCAAAGGTCACCGTGTGTGTGGTGAACAACTTGCATCCCTCCACAACATGTCTGCTGTAGATGCTTCTTGCAGCTCCTCTGAGCTAAGCACAGCCCCTGGGGATGGTTTTGCTTTCCCTCCAGGGAAATGAGAGCCCTTTGCCTTGCCCCTCTTCCAACCAGTCTGCCACCTTCTCCTTCCTCGTTCTGTTTACTTGCTTTCCTCCACGTCCACATTCTCATGATCTCTCTCTGCTTCTTTCTTTGCTTTTCCTTGAGTTTCCATATTGGTCCGGTCCCACTTCTTGATACCAAGAGTATTCCCTGAGATTTTGCAGCTAATTGGATGCAATTGTGAGGTTATTGTATACTTGGCACCTACTATATATAGTGTAGACTTGGGAATGCCTCCAGGCTTTACCAGTTCTGCAGGGTACTGAAAAACTGAGGTTGTTCTTTTTTGGTGATACATGAAATATTTAGATTCGCTGCAGATTGCTTTAATGCAGATTTATCAGCTAACACTTCCTTTCAAATCCAAAATGGATTCTTCTAAACATGCTAATAATTGAGTTTCAAGTGTGATGTAGCTTTGTGCTATGGGTAACATGGAAAATGGGTAGCTGGCAGCTTCAGTGCTGCTCCTGAAGAACCTTAACCTGTAAAATAGGTTACAGTGGAAGACAGCTAAAATTGGATGGGCTCTGTTGGGGTGTGATTCTTTTGTGTTGTTTGGGGTTTTTAATGAGCATCAAGGACATATTTATATTTTTCTTTCATCATTTAACAAAGAGTACAGAAGAATGTCAAATGATACTGGGAGAAAAAATGAATAACTAGTTAAATGGTCTACATGTAACAACAGAAGTTACCATGGTAGTTGCTTTTTCATTAGGCAGGCACCTTTCAAGTCTGCAAAGAATCCTTAGTCTGGAACACGCCTACACCTTTGGGGTGTGTTTCTATCTTAGTCAATGTTGGTTCTTTCATAAAATAGGAAACTGAAATAAGAATACAAGGTAGCTTTATGTCCTGAAAGACAGACATGTATTTGTGTGCATGTTGGAAGGCTTCTAGTTTAGTATTTAAAACCTCAACCAGGTGTCCAAAATTAGGAATTCTTGCCAATAATATTGCTGCTTGTGATACTAATTTTAATTTTTTATTTTTCATATGTATATATGTATTCATGTGTTTGCAGTTTAAATCCCAGACTCTCTTCTTCTCACACAGGATCTACTTGAAGCATGGAAGCCCAGTTAAAATGATGGAGAGTTACATTGCAGTGCTCACAAAAGGGATCTGCCAAAGTGAAGAAAATGGATCTTTCCTCAGCAAGGATTTTGATGCTCGGAAGGCTTACCTTGCTGGTTCCATCAAAGGTTATTCACTGCCAGGAGCCTCTATGCTGATTTTTTTCCTACAATATAAAATGCCATCTAGTTTTCCTGTGTGCTTCAAGTAACAATGCTAACCTGTGCTGTTATTATTTAGCTTCCTCAAAAAACAGTTTAGTATCAGCATGCATATCTTCTGTACAATGATTTTCCCCTCTTTTCTAGATATAGTGTCTCAGTTTGGAATGGAAACAGTTATCCTATATACAGCACTGATGTTAAAGAAGAGAATTGTGGTGTACCATCCTAGAATAGAAGCTATCCAGGAGTTTACCAGGTACTTTGTCCGTTCCTTCCTTCACACCCCTCCCCAGAATCCAACAAATTTTGAACCTTCATCGAGAGAAAAACCCATATTTTAAGGAAGAAAACCTTTCTTAAACCTGTTTATTGAAATTCTGTTAAATCCCTCTTAAGGCTTTAGCTGTATGTTCCTCGGCTCAGAGAAATGTAACGGTGGAATGAGCAATAAACTCTGCTTGCACTGAGGGCAGAAATCTCTATAGTTCCTGTATATCCACCCCAAATGAGACCTAGTCAGAATTGTTTATTCTCATGGCATGCATTTCATCCCGTGAAACTTTAGTTAGCATAAATAAAAATATACTATGTGCCAAATTTTTCCCCAGGACCCTGCCTGCTTTAGTGTGGCATCGACAAGACTGGTCAATTCTTCATTCATACGTGCATCTAAACGAGGAGGAAGTGGAAGCCTTGAAAGCCTGCACAGGTAGTGATAGTTTATTAATCAAAAATATAAAGAAAATTTAATTCTACTTTCTTTTGCTGCAAGGTCTTGCACCAGTGCACTTCGGAGGAAAAAAGGTTATTTTGCTGTTAATGCTATTGTTCAAAGTTAAACAGCATAATTTGCTTTAGAAAAGGCAAAACAACTAAACAAGTGTGTGGGAAGATAACTGGTTAATCTGGTGGATTTGGGTGGATCCACATCAGTCTATCCCCAATCACAGATGCAAAGCAGCCTTGAGACTTTTTTGATGTTGTGATCTGAGGGATTGAAAGTCCTCCTGTTGTACAAAAGCAGCTCACTTTAGATAAACTGCATTTTTTTCCCAGCTTCTACACATCACTTGTGGCTGAACCTTTCTTTTTTCTTTTTTTTTTTGTGAGTTCCTAACTCTGAAGTCCCAGATTTTTATGTTAATGCCAGTGAGGTCTCTGGCTCCTAAGCACAGGTGGACTTTAGTGGCTACATAGGAGTTTGGTCTGTGTGTGTGCAGGGCTTGGTGCATAACCCAGGGACAGGCCCTTGGCTTATGCAAAGTTTAACATGACACATTATGTGGCCATTAAGAGGCTTCTCTGTGCAGGAATAATGAGCAAGAAGACTACTCATCTTCAGCATTTCCACCTGAACACAAAGGAAAAAGTTCCCTTAGTTTTCTCACCTGGTTTGCTATAAATAAGAAAATCTGCTGGGTTTATTCCTCTGTTCCAGTCTAATCCTGACTTCGTGAAAAAGGGCTCCAGAGTGGTGATTTTTTTAAAATGAGAAAGTTCAGTGGCCTTTTCATTTGCAAAACAGTAGTTTTAGTAGCAAGGTAGGAAGAGCGTTTAAAATTCCACATTGATAACCTTATGATATTGCTTGTAGTGTGAGTGGTTCATTCATGTTCAAGGCAATTTCAGAAGCTGATTTTGAAGCTCCTTGGAAATGAAGCATCTGCTGAACACACTTGTTGAATGACTGATACTGTCAACAGCACAACCTCCTGGGTCCAATGATTATTGTGTCAAAAACTCCTAGAACAGACTGTAGGACTGTGATTTTATCTTGGTTTTGGCGTGGTTTTGTTTATGAAGATCCTAATCTTGCTAAATTCTGCTCTCTAGGTTACATTGCTGGATTTACAGATTCTGAAGTGAACAGCAGACCAGACCTGTATGATGTGTATGTGAATTTGGCAGACAGTGAGATTACTGTTTCCCCTGTAGTAAAAGGTTGGTTGCTGTTTGTATTTGGGATTTAGAGGCCATTTATCCCCAAGTTTATAGTAATTGCTGAACCTGGCTGTAGATCAAGCCATCTTGATCCTTCTTCCTTCCAGGTTCTGAAAAGTTCAATGTGTAACCTTCTGTCTTTTAGTCTTATTGCAACACTGGTGAAAGCTGGAAGTCGAAAAGACATACTTTGCTTCCAGCAAATGCACAGTTGAGATTTCATAACATCCACGTTACACAGTTACATGGAAGAGACTTCCAGCTGGGTGCAGTTATGTCACTTGAGTTTTTAGAAAAACACTGCACTAAATACTTGGAGATTGGGGACTATTTGAAAGAAAAGCTTCTGGTCATCTCACTGCTCCTTAGGGCCACTTCAGGGGTGTTGGCAAAGCTGTTGATGTGCCAGGTTACTGCCTTTACCAGTAGATTTTAAATAGTAGTCATGAAAAGACTCCTCAATTCAGCTTATTATTCACATGCTTTTCTAGATATCCTGGAAAAGGTGATTTTATGTGAATGTGTGGTGTTGTTTCCTTTCTTACACAGAGGCAATGACAATGGGAAAACTTCACAAAGAAATTGGACAGCTAATTGTTCAATCTGCAGAAGATCCAGATAAATCAGACAGCCAAGTCATTAAGGTTAATATTTTATTTTTAAATCTAGTTAACTTATTTCTATTGCTAAATCTGGGCAGAAAGAGGGCGTAGGAGGAAGATTGTCCCTGAGAATCAGTCAGTCTCTTTTACCCTCTGCCTTTTTACAAATGAGTGTTTTTATTCATCATACAGATTTTTAAAGGATAACTTACTTGGTTTGTATTATCTGTTGGGTAACTACATTGCTGAAGAAACTTCAAAAAGTCTATTGATTTTTAGAGTGGTTTCCCAGTTTCATTCCACAAGGCATGGATTTTGCTCAGTGCTTTGTCAATAGGATTGTCAATACCTTGAAAAAGTCCTGCTGAGATAAGGCTTCTCAGCCATAAAGCCTGATTTTCATCCTGATGGCTTTTTTCACTTCTTCCCTTATCTTAATACATTATTAGACATTTCACAACTGAGTGACTTAGTCACAGAGCTCAGGAAGGCCAGAAGAGGAGCCTGTGGAGTGGCTGTGCTCCCTTTATCCAGCATTGCACAAGAGCAGGCTGAAAAACTGGTGCACGTTTGCCTGAGAATAAATGGGAGCTTTATTTTAAATGAGCTACTTATTTATCATTATTTCCTTTTTTTCCCTTTATTGATTCTTTTTTTAATAAGCATATGTGAAAACATTATCATACCTAATACTATGTTCACAGTTGCTTGTTTCTCTGTTCCTCAAGGACATTTCTCTGAAGACAAAAGAAATCCTGGCTATTTTAGCCTCACTTACTGAAGCTTCTGATGGCAATGAAAAACCAACCCTTAACTCTGAGGCCCTGAAACAAAAGCGGTTTCCACCAGCTACAGAAAACTTCCTTTTTCATTTAGCAGCTGCTGAGCAACTGCTCAGAATCTGATCCTGAGGCACTGGAGTGTGATGGACCAATTCAGAAAGGCTGTCTCTGCCATACAGAGAGGTACACCTGGTATTTTATATGGAAAAATTCAAGGTATAGGAGTGGATGTCATAGTTACCACGATACAGTGCAGAATATTGGAGCTTGACCGGGAACATGGAGACATTTTTGGGAACATTCCTGGTGTCATTGTCCTTCCCCAATTCTAACTGTGTACACATGGCTCCCGTGTTCCATGCCATGACATGAGTGTACATACAACAGCACAGGCCTGTGTGTCCAGGCTGTGCCAGACATGGTGGCAGTGGCTGTTTGTCCTGCACATTCCAGAGGCTGCACAGCTCTGACTTGTCTTCCTGGGCTCTGGAACACAGCACAGCTGCTGTACAACCAGCACAGTTTGGATGTGTTCATCTCTGCACAGGGACACACTGAACGTGCAGTGGGCTGAGTGCTCCTTCTGGCCTTCCAGGTGTGTCAGCCTGTGGGATGCTGCTCTTGCTCTGGGCTGCCTGGTTCCTGGAAATCCCAACTAAATGGACAAGTTCTCTTCTTTCTACTTGAAAGTGTCTAGGTGTGGAAAAAAAGGATGTCTGGGAAAATCTGATGTGGTAGCCTTAGCACATAGAGAAAGGGGTATTTTGAAGCTCAGGTGTGAGTTGAGCACCTCTTTTGGACTCTTGCCTTAGAGGTTTTCCCCCCTTTCACTCCATCCCATGCCTCTGATGGAGGGATAAGAGTCCAGGATTACTGTGTTTAAAATGGGGCTTCCCAGGGGGCTCACAGACAGGTGCTGCTTTACAGCTGCAGTCATTTAAGAAGCTGTTGGGGTTCTCAGCTGAGAAGAGACCTTGCCATTCATTTCTGATCCACATGAAAAAGTCAGGTGAGTTAAAACCTCATGGACCAGGAATGTCCCAATGGGAAGGTACCACAGGGAGAGCATCAGCTTCTTAAACTGCTGGAGCTGTAACACGGGCACTGTCTGATGGTGCTCTGTGTAAACGAGATCGAGGTGGAAACTTTGGAAGTAACAGTGAAAACTGGGAAAGAGTTGAGAGAAAATTTAAAATTTGCCTACTTGTTTGGTTGCACAGCCATAACTCAAGAGATTTCTTTTTGTTTCACTGAGCAGCCTGAAACCAACTGCTTTGTAATCTTCTGAGAAGAATTTAGAGTCTTTGTAGGGAGATGCTCTGAGCCAAACAATCTGTATTTGTTCAGAAATGTCCACAACAAATCAGTCAGTTCTGCAGTAGCACTTTGTTATATGAAAAAAAAATAACCTTTTTCCTGGCCTTTGTACAGATAGGCTGTAGCATGTGGTTTTACATAGAGATTTTATACTTATGAATAAAACTTTAGTAACCAATATTTATATTGTTAAATAATTGGATGTTTGCTATTCTGAAACTGGTAGAGTTCATCAATAAGTATTTACAAGCAATATTGGTTGGAAAAAGGGTTGTCTTTTTGCTATGTATCATACATTAAGGAAATCTATTTTAGAGTGTGATTAAGGAATGTGGCATCTATGTATAAAATGGATAGTTATTACAGTCAGGAAATGAAAGTGCTTCAGAACAACCCCCTATTTTCAGGGGTGTTAAAATTCTACTTTAAACACTTAATCTGAAGTTTAACTTCTGAACACAGTAGCCTGTACTTTGGTGGTTTTTTTAACTTCTGAGAAAAATATTGCAACTGCCTTTGTTTACCTGTAAGTGCTCTACAGCTTTTTTTCCCCGTTTACCCATTAATGTTTTTTCTTAATGGTTTGTTAATATTGCTGCTTCTGTTTTGAGACCTTTAAAACAGTTGGAATAGCAGAACTGCAAAACTGTGCTGAAAATTCCATTCAGGACTTACTTTTAAGTCCCCTGAGACTGAAGTCTTTCACCAAGAAAAACCTGGATCTGCTTCAGCCACCTGTCTTAACACCACAGTGTAACTGAGAAGAAATTTGCATCATTTCTTATTAACAAAAAGCCTTAAGGCATATCCAGAGAGAACCACAAAAAGCAGAGGAGCTCAGTTGCAAACTAAACATTGAATGCCTGTTTTGCTTTCTGTCCTGGAAACATTGAAGTTGGAAATCTCAGTGTTGTATCCGATCTTCTGATGTTTCTGCAGTGCAGGTGAAATACAGTTTTGCACTTAAGGAAGTGGACTCACAGCATGCTTATGCCTATTAAAAATCTTCTGAACAGTCTACCCTTTAATTTATGTAAATTTTTTTCTTGACTTGTTGTGACCATGGAGTCACAACTGGGATTGAGCTATAGCTTGGTGTTGATGTTGGAAATGTACTGCTACATGTTCAAACACTTTTATCATCTGCTGATTTTTATTGTCAGCACTGCACAGGATGTATTTCCCTCTCTCAGCTTCAGTGCTTTCAAAGGATTGTCCTAATGTCCTTGCATTTTCTTAATGACTTTTGGCACTGTTTCTTCTCAAAATGGTTTAAAATAAAATAGAAAAATCTGCAAGGTCAGGACAGGGAAAGACTTTGGCTGATTTCTCACTTCCCCTTCCCCAGGCTGGGTGTGCAGTTGCTGGTTTTGCAGTCGGATGACATCCTTTCTTCCTCCTAGAAGCAGAGACCATGTAAAATGAAATTTGTGTTCATATCTTCTCATCTTCCTGCCTTCCTGTTCTCGGTTAAACATAAAATGGTGAATGGTTCCTGTGGCACAACATCTCCACCACATCTGCAGAGATTGGAACAGAGATAGTGAGCAGAGCAGAGGCTTGCAAAGAGGAGCAGAATCAGCACTCAGTGCCTTCAGTTGAGATTTTGCTGAGTAAATTGGGTTACTTGCTTTAATGCTTTCAGCCCTAGGTTTTAGTCCCTGCCCTGCCCTGTTTCCCCTGCAGGCAAGTGTGGGGGAGAATGTTCTGATTGAGTGCTTTGTAACCTGGAAAAACAGGACATCTGGCAGCATCCATCTTCAAACTTCTGCCTGCTTCTGCTTTTAACCTCTGACTGCCACTGCAATGGCTACTGAGGGTTTGTTGTTAATGGTGTGTTGTGAGATGTCAGTGGAAGCAGCTACATTTCTAGACAAAAAACAAGCCGTAAAGCTCAGGGTAGGAAGGTCACAGGTGCCTCATGCTGCTGCACACCCTTCCCTCGGGTGTAAGGAAGCTGTACACCCTTCCCTGGGCAGCTGTCTGGCTGGATCTGAGTTGGAGGCATCTTTGGCCAGGTGAGGTCATTCTTTGTAGCTGCCGAGTTTGAGACTCACTGGGGAGGAGACTCCCAAGACTGGCAGCAGCCCCTTCCCCAGTGACACTGCAGCATGTGGCAGGGGTTTGCTGTCTGAGGGGGAAGAGCTGCAGGGCAGGACTCTCTCCCTGCCTGCATCCTTCCTTCCTCCATCCCAAGGCCTGCATGGAAAAGCAGCATGGCCATGTTACAGACCTGGGGGTAAAGCAGGGGCACAGCTCCGGCTGGGAAAAACTTTGATCTCAGTATTTCCTAATATGGGAGTGGCTGAGGTGTTTTGTTTTGGGTTTTTTTAAGCTACATTAAAGGGACCTGGAAGTCTCATTGTATATTCCTAAATTTCAAGAAGGCAGGCTGAGTAGGTGGGGCACAGATAGCATATTGTGCTGTACTGACACTTAGTTTTCCTTGAAGCAGGAAGCTTCCATCTGTTGTGATTCACCACACCTTAAACTGGTTCCACCACTAATGCACTGTCACTTCACACAGGGGTCAGCACTAAGGCAGGAGACACGCCTGCCTTGGGCTGGTATGTTGTTAATCTATTCCAGGTTACGAAGGGGAAGGTTTCCTGCAGTTGCTGACTCTCCTCCCAGGTCCCTCAAACATGATGCTTTGCTGCTTGTCCCAGTCTTGTTCCCCTCACTTGTACCTCTGGACCAGGAGTCTGGTCCTGGCAGTTCCAGTCTCAGTGACTTCAGTTCAAGACTGAGGATGCTGGGGCCTTTTTAGGGTATTTTCCCTGCCCTGACTTGGGAAGCAGCTGAATCACCCAGGCTGACAATTTAAATGGCAGGCCCTGCCCTTCTCTTCTGGAAAATTCTGGTTAGGGCAACAGAAACATTTATGGGAAGGGGGGAAAGAGGTATTTAATAATCCTGAGGGAGCTGTGTTTAATATGGCAAATTTCAACTCAAGTTTTCAGTAAGAAGCTGGTAGGGTCTGAGAATGGGCAGCTGTAATAACAGACACTGTTACCAGACCTATTCCAGAAGCCTTACTCACGGAGCTGTAATGACATCAATTTGCTTAAAACATCCAAGTGTGGTGCCAGTGAATTTATAGCTTGTCTAGTTACCATGGCGACTCAAAGTTCACCAATATATTATCTTCTATTTGTTGGCTTTGCTCTACTGTTAGGTTTTGGGCTTTTTTTCCTTGTTCCCACTGAGGTTCATGTAACTAGCATTTACTTTAGCCATTCTTAAATTAAGTTTAAAAAAAATGTGGGGAGAGGTGCAGGTCTTCATTGTAGTGCTAATTAATGTTTACTGAGAGTGGAATTAGACCCCATCTGCACTTACCTTTGGTATGTCACTGAAATAGGATTAACAGAGAAACAGGGGTTTAGAGAATTTAACTGTAGGATTTTGGCTGTGCCTCCACTATTAAAAGTTTGGAAGGAGATAAAAACCTTCACTGGGAGAGGCAGGCTGAGGCTTAAGCCTGTTCCACCTGACCCTGTGGTACCTAAAGAGCAGGGTCAGCCTCCTCCCCAGCATCCTCCCAGCTCAGGAGAGCTGAGGGTGATGTGATCTGGCCATCTTGTGTCTCCTGTTGGCTGCTGTCAGAGATAGAAACATAGAACAGAGTCATGGAATGGTTTGGAAGGGACCTTAAAGATCATCTAGTTCCCAGGCAGTGCCACAGGCAGATGACATTGGGCTCAGCAGACCCTCTGTTCTGACACAGTACCTTCTGTTGTTGACTTTGATGGGATTTTACTGAAGAACATGACTCCCAGAGGCAGGGCTAAGTGAGCCCTGTGGAGTTCAGCAGGTGGGAATGATCCTTTACCTTTAAAAAAATCACTCCAGTGCAGTAATGCAAACTCTTTGACACTGAGGGTTGGCAACCTGCAGACAGCATCCATATGGTCTTCCTGGAACAGCCTTACAGCATGCTCCCCTCAAGTTCCAGGTCCTTAGGATGTGCTGTCCCTGTTCTCTTCCCTTGCCTGACCTTTCCCTGCAGTAAGTTGTTAGAGGAAGGCTCAAAAAAAGGCAGAACTCAACCAAGAAACGAAACTCAACCCCCAACTTCCTGCTTTTGTTCAGAGCCAAAAGCACAGCAGGAATCCTTTTCCTGCAAGAGACCAGGTCTGCTATTTTTCCTTACTTTGTTCTGTGCTGCTGCCTTCCTGTAGGATAGATTGCATTGGGAAACCATTGGTTCCCTCACACTGTGAAAAGAACTGTAATCCCCCAGCAATAGGAGAGCAGTGACCTGTGCATTGCACTCTAAGGAAGTTACAGTATGGCAGGGTTTGGAGGCTGCACTTGTGATAATCACTGTCACAGAAATAATCTGACATTATTTAGTGCATTTTTCCATCCTTGTCACACACAGCTTTAGCAGCACCTCACGTAAGTGTAGGCAGGGGTCAGAGAAGAGACAGCTCAAAGATCACTGAAGATGTCACAGAGTCTTCTGCCACATTTATGGAGCTTCTTCCCACCTTGTTCCGCCAGGAGAAGGTGTGACCTGGATTTTGGGGCAGGTCAGCAAACCAGAGGAAAGCAGCTGTACTGGGCCAGATCAAAGATCTGTTCAGCCAGATGTCATATCCCAGTGGCCACCAAAGGCAGGCACAAGCAGGTAAATAAGCTCTTTATTCCTTCTACTCACCTGTAGTATGGAGCTTATGAACTTCTGCTGCTGGGCTTCCATGAACTTAGTATCCTTCAATGGATTCCTCTGATGGAAATGTCCAGTTTCCTCTTAAACTCATGTTGGCTTTTAGTATCCAAATGTCCTTCGAAGTTCAACTGTGTGTTGAGCTGTTTGCCACCACCCTAATTCCACTCCTGGTGTTAACAACCAGCTCACATTAATTACTTTTCACTCACCCATGTGGTATTTACCCTGGGTTTATATCTGAAGCTCTTTCTGCAGCTCTTCCCAGACAGCTGTAGGCCCCTGAACAATTTTGTAGGATCAGCAAAACGTGTCACTGCAATGACCAACAGGGTAACCCTTATGCCACATATCAAAAGAGCTTTCTTTTGTTTGGATGAACACTGTCAACCTGCAGAAGTGGGAATTCCTCATTGTCCACAAGGTCAGAAAGACATGGGATTTCCCAACAGCTTCAGTGTGAAAAAACAAGTTGTAAAGCTCAAGGGGCATCAGGCCTCACAGCTCCTTCCAGGAATTCCTTGAAAAAGCCAGGAATTAATTGGTAGTCAAGTTTGACACCCATTTCCTGAACACTTCTTAAACAACTAAATTTAGCCAATATTCCATTGCCATCAGGGTTGCTTTGCCTTAGTATCACTTTAAGGGCTGCCTCACTCATGTCTCATCCTCAAAACAGGTGTTGTTAAATACACTGAAACACACAAAGTGTTCTGAGAAGAACCAGCTTGGCTTTACCCAAAGGAGTGTTGTTAAAGCCTTCCCCAGCTGTGTTCCTGGAAAGCAATGTGCCAAAACCTGCAGCAGAGACAGGACAAACTTGTGTACTCAACAGTCTTTTAATTCAGGAATCAATCACCTGAGGGAGCACAGAACACAGGCTGTGACAAACACTGTGTTATGGTGCTTTCTGCTACAAATGCGGCTTCCAGCATCAAGTGATGTGTGTGTTTCTGCCCCCAGGATGGGGCTTTGCAAAGCCCTGGTGCCAAGTTCTGCCTCTTTACAGGCCACCCCATCATACACCACATCTGGTACACAGGCACCACAGATCCACCACTCAGTCCCAAATGCCAGTGGGGTTTGTTGGTGCATCAATTAGAGCACATGTTCAGAAAGGAAAGCCACTCTCTAAATCCCCCTGTTGTAGAACAGCTCTGTTTCCTCTGTAGATGACAGAATCTCTGGCTCAAGGTCTGCTCTCTTTATCTGCAATGGACAGGAAAAGGGAATCAACACCACCACAGCCTGGCAAACACGTGTGAAGTATATGTTAAGCCCTTGTAACTGCATTGCACCTTGCACAAATTCAGTATCTGGGATTTGGGGCTCTTTGTTTATTTGAGGGATTTT